ATGTCATGATGAAATACAGTGTGTGTGGTTAGAAAGTATGCCCACTGGCTCTGTGCTTTGATTCTGTTATTTATTTCTACTCTTACTCTGTTAAAAAGCTTTCCTCTTCTATAGCACATCTCAATACAGCTGGCGACTTGGCCTCTTCTTACTTTTGAAAATTCCTTTTGGGGAGTTTTAGCTAGAGAATGATATTCATGGTAGTATTTCCTACTAAGAGTGAAATGATAGGCTTAACGTAAGTGTTTAGTAATACTTTACTCATTTTTATTTAATCCTAAGTATTTTTTCTAAGGGCAAAAATTTCTATGCTTGAAATGATAATCCATTTAAGATATTGCCTAATAAATTATTCTATCTGTTACAAGCTAAGCCCATGCTTTTCTGTTTTCTTGGAAATAGGAAGCCTTTGGAATTTACTAAGTTGTTGCAATGGCTTGAGACTTGGCTGTAGCAGATCTGATTGGCCTGAATGCTTCTAGATGATGGGATACACTGGCCTCCTGCCCACTCTCGATGGTACATACTGACTTTCAGCCCATAGTCAAGAGTGATGTTTACTTTTAACATGCTCCTTCTTTTGAAAATTCCAAAGGTCTTCTTTCAAGAGTTTCAAATATGCTTACTGGTTCAGTTATGTTTATCTGATTCAGAGCAGTCAAGTGAAGAATCAGTTCTTTAGGACAAAATCTAATCATTCACTCAGCCATTCAGAAGCACTCCCAACCTATGCTTGGTACAACTTAATGATATTCTTTGAGGCTGTGGAGACCCAGTGTAAATATGATGGCTGGAAAACTCTCCAAGGGTCCACTCCTCTTCTGCTCTATTGTAGGTTTTGGGAGATAGTAGCACACTTACTTTGGACCAATGTAGCCATGTAATACATCTTCTTACACAATTGTGGTGCTAGAAACACTTTGACCTCAAGGATTGAACCTACACCTCCGTGCTCACCTTCCTTCCCCTCTGTGGCCAGTCCCTAACATACACACCAAACACAAGCGTTCCTTCTCCCTTCCAGTTCTCCCCACCCTCTGCTCCTTTCACATTCGACTAACAAGAACCAAAGGGAGTGAAAGTGTGAGGCTTTTTCACGTTGCTTCCCTATCTGCAGCAACACCATGGAAATTACAGTGACCAGCCCAGGCTGGGTGTTTTCTTCCAAGGACTCCCAAACACTTTGCATCAATTCTCACCCACCCTATGGGAGTGGACGGGGAACAGAGAGTTGTCAGGATCTCCCCCTCCGGGAACTGGCCAGGTTGCCACAAAGGAAGAGTTGAGGAGACTGAGGAAAGTCAAGCTAAACACATTTTATTGGTACTCTAGGTGACTAGGAGGAGAGATCGCTCAAGCCTACTCCTGCCGGCACAAGGTGCTATGGACCAGGAGCTTCTCCCCGCAGGCACAAGGCACTACGGACCAGGGAGAGAGGCTGAGCAATCTCTGCTTTACAGTGTCTGAGGGTCCCCTTATATATGGTTTCTAGAGGTCAGCCCTGCCCTCACACCGACCTCCCAGGGTCCTGTAGTCATAGCAACGACGGTTATGACGGTTGATTTGCAGTTTGTGGTTAGGCCATTATAACGGTTTTGCAGTTAGACCGTTTCCTCTTTCAAACTGCGCTATAGTGCGGTTACTTTCTCCACGAATGGGTCCCTAACAAGAGTGCCATTTTATGTCTCTGTAACCAGACAGGGAGACACGTTTAAAGGTGCTGCCAAGATACATGCTGAGCTGGGAAGAAGGTCCAGGTTGCACCCAACACCCTGGTGTTTGTGCTGAGATGCTGGGCTGCCCTCCCCAGATAAGTGGCTAATGGACTGATAAATGGGTTACTCCCCAAAGGGGAGTAGCAGTCCCTCTATGGCTGTTTGTGAGGGTGCTGGAAAAAGATCCAGTATGTACAAGAGGAAAGGAAAGGAAAACTAGTGGTCTTTGACTTCTGCAAAGCTCCCCTAGTAGAAACAGATGGGATCTGTGACTTAATTGGGCTATTATTAGATGCTAAATTTGAACCACTCTTCCACTGCACCACCTCCTGCAAAGTACCTCTTCAATAGAAAAAGCCCTGTGCTTCTGTGACTACTGGCAAAGTAAACCAAATGAGCGAAGATGATGTAACATCTTCATTGTCTGTCTTGGTGCCAGTTGCTATGAGAGGTGCTGTTTGCAAATAGCCAAAAGTGGACGCAGATGCTGATGGTGGCTGTGGCTGTTCCTGCTGAGAGTGGAGTCAGGGAGCTCCTGGTTCTCAGAGAGCCCTCTCTGCCCCCATTTCCCTGGATGAGCTGCTGGTGGTGGTGGTGTGGGGCAGAGTAAAGCACAGGCCATGACATGAGCAGCTGCCTGAAGACCCTTGTGTTTGAATAGCAGTGAGATTGGCCAATGACCCTAACCCCTCTGCTTATCTGGCTGTGGGAGGGTCTGCCTTGCTGCTCCTCCTGAGTGTTAGGCATGAATGCTTGCTTGTGGGAATCTTGGATAGGATCCTAGCTTTAGGCCAGCTCTTACATGTGAATGGCCCTGGAACTCAGCAATCTCAGTAGGAATTCAATACGGAGACTGAATGTTACTGAGAGGAGAGGAAAGCACACGTGTTTTTGCTAATGCCTCAGTGTCGGGGTTCTGGCTGTGTTTGGGTTTGTTGGTTTGTGGACAGGGTTACTTTCACTACACACTTGGGCTGGGAGGTGTGACACATGTTCTAGAGATGTTTCTGCATCCCTCAACCCCATTGCCTCCTTCCTCCTAGTCCCCATCATTCTGGTTTGGGAGAGACAAGGAGGAAGAAGGACAGTGCCACTCTCCTTCCCAACTGGAGCCCCCGCGCTCAGTATAAACCCAAACTTCGTTTTGACAGTTTCTATCATGTGCCTCTGACACATTGAGCTCTCTTCTCTCCCATGGGGAAGGGGTGAAGAGTTCAGCTTTTGCTCAGGCCATACTGCCCTTCTGTTTTCTGATTCCCTGAAAGGCCTCACTGACACTTGCAGCGCTTGCACTAAGTCATGCAGCCTCACACTCACAACCCGCTCACCTCCTGTACCTTCCATAAACAGTGGCAGGGGTCGACTCATGGCATCCACCAGACTCCCAGTGGGATTTGTCTTTTGACCTGATTTACAGCTTTTCCCTCTTTCTGCCAATAATTTGACTAGTTGGGAAGGGGAAGGAGAAGAAGATGGTGATATATTTCTCTTGCCATTTGCCTGATTCAGACACAAACCCTCTCTAAATAGAAATGGACTTGAAAAGAGGAGAAAACGTGCCTTGCAGATGCATTGTTCATGGCTTACAAATATCCTTCCCCCTTCGTTGCTAGTGGGACCCATCATTTTGGGCCCGTGTCTCCAGGACTGACCGTGGGCCCCAACTTCACAGCTCCTTTGCAGCTGTGGTTGGCCACATGGCCTAGTTCTGGCTGATGGAACGTAAGTGGAAGTTGGCTTCAAGAAAGCCTTTCCATAATCTATAAAGAAAACTTCCTTACTGCTGGCAACACACTTTTCCTTTCTGGCCTTCAGTGTCAGCAGCATCGCATGACCAAGAGGATAGTGCTATTGCAAATGCCCTTGAACTGAGGGCAGAAAGCCAGAAGACAGCCTACACCACAGATGGCACCCACCCTCAGCATTAGGGGCTGTCTGCTCCCCAACTGCATGTTCTGTGAAAAGAATACATCTCTGTTCTTTAAACTCACCATACAAGAATGCTAAGAATGGAGGGCTTTTGCTCTTCCATTCCCTCTCTAGATGCCCATGCTGAGATCCCAACTGCCACTGTGGTAGAGCAGGTGCAGCCTTTGGAAAATAACTACATCTTGAGGGTGGAACCCTGTGAATGGGATCCACACCCTTAACAGAGGAGACATGAGAGAGAGAGTGTGTGTCTCACTGAACCATGCGGCAACAGTATGAAATGATGGCCATCTGAAAATGAGGCAGCAGCCCTCACTCCAGATACCACATCCGTCTGTGCCTTGGCCTTGACCTTCCAGTTGCCAGAACTGTGTGTATGTGGGGAGAGGTTAGGGAGAGGTATGACAAAGAAGAAAAAAGGAGGAGAAGAGTCAAATCAAATGAAAATTAGCCAAAATCAATAGTGTGTAACTTAATGGTAGGAATCACAATATCTTAGTCTCGGTATGATCAAATCCATATATGACAATTAAGGTGCTCAGAACCCTCTTCCTTCCTCCCCTTACCTTTGCCAGTCATCTTCACCTTTAAAGAGACTCAACTCACTTTGTTAAAATGTACTCACTCTGCCACACTTCACACCGTCCTCACCACGTGTCCCTAGGGATTAAAACGAGGGCTGGACTTCTCATTCCTGTGAGTGTCTATTCTGCAGCATGTAACATGGAATTCTGTTTGATGCTTTGAATGCTATTGTTAAGTAAGTGGTTTTCTTCGTTTAATTTACCATTTCACAACGTCAAATCTGAGACTTAGTCTGAGGTTGAGTAACTTTTCCAAGGTCACACAACTCACCCCATCAGAACTGACATCTGCATCCAGAATTCAGTCCAAAGTCTATTAGTTTTCTTTTTTTTAAGATTTATTTATTTATTTGAAAGAGTTACACAGAGAAGGAGATGCAGAGAGAGAGAGGTCCTCCATCCACTGGTTCATTCCCCAATTGGACGCAATGGCCGGAACTGAGCTGATCTGAAGCCAGGAGCCAGGAGCTTCTTCTGGGTCTCCTATGTGGGTGCAGGGGCCCAGGGACTTGGACCATCTTCTATTGCTTTCCTAGGCCATAGCCGAAAGCTGGATTGGAAGAAGAGCAGACTGGATTAGAACCGGCACCCATATGGGATGCCTGCACTTTAGGCCAGGGGTTTAACCTGCTGAGCCACAGTGGAGTAGCCAGGACTTGAACCAGCTCCCACATGGGTTGCTGGCACTGCAGGCTGCAGCTTTACCATCTACACCACAGCGCCAGCCCCTATTAACTTTCCATTAACATGAACTACTCATTTCTCCTTTTAGGGACTCCAGTCTTACGGGAACAACAGGAAATGTTTGGAGTCAACAGGAGCAGAGTTGGATTCCCATCTTCACTGCTAGTTAGTTACGCACATTACCATAGCTTATTCTTAAATTTTTACTTGGGGAATGGTAATAATAATATCTCTTTCCCTGGCCGCAGCATGGCAAATGCTGAATATATGAAAACTGGCAAGGCAGGCAGTCCATGTGTGTGTGAGTGTGTAGAAAATAGACTTAAATGACTGACACAAAATATGATAGTCATATTTGCTCTTACAAAGAACTGCTATTTACAAAGAGAAGTAGGCATTGAATAACAGAGAAATCAATAAACACAGCACAGAAAAGGGCCATTTAACCTGGGACATAAAGATGATAAACACTTCCTTGTCTGATAAACTGAAGGAACAGGCATAGCAAGGCCCTCTTGCAAGAGCGACTTATACACAAAGATGATGGAATTGTACAAAAATCATCAGTGGGGGAGCCGGGGCCCCGTGGCCCTTGGCAGGCCACAGCCCACCTCTCCCCGCGGCCCTCGCCCAGCTCCGCTGCCCAGTATCGGGCCACACTGGGTGTTGCGGATGGAGGGCCGGCGCCACTCGCGCGCAGTCTTACCCGCAAGGGGCCTCGTACTCAGCTGCGGGCGCCGCCGGGTCCTGCTCCGCCTCCTCCTCGGTGTCGGTGTCAGTGTGGGTGTCAGGCACTGCAAAGGAGCGCCCGCAGGGCGTGGTCACGCGTGAGAGTCCACGGGGACCCGACCGCGTGTGCCCGGCGTCCCCGGGGCCGCGGGGGCCCCTCCGGCTCCTGGCCTGCAGGGGTGCCTCCTCCCAGGCAAGCAGCACTTGGTGGCTTGGTGTGGTTCTGGGTCTCGGGGGAGAGGGGGCCTGGGTGAGGTGGCCGCCCATTCCACCCTGGCCAGGACATTTCCCTCAGGAGGACTCACACTCCGCAACCTGCGCCCGGCGATAGGGGCAGCCCACAAAGGTGCCGGGGCCCCAGCCGACCTGGGAGGACGCGCCAGCGGGGTATGCACCCGCGTAGGCCGCCGCGGCGTCCCCGAAGTAGTAGCAGTTCATGCCCTCGGGTTCGGGGCAGGCCCAAACGGTCTGCTGGTACGTGGCGTCCACGCCAGGCCTGCAGGGGAGAGGCGTGCAGGGGACAGCGCTGAAGCCTTCCGGTGGGGAACAGGGTCGGGGCCCCGGGGCTGCAGGGGCGTGGGCCGGCCGCCAGGTGCCCAGCCGACCAGCCAACCCGCCTACCCGCCTCGGACCTGCTGGCCACTGTTCCCTCCGCACAGCGGCCCGACCCCACCCGGCGGCCGGCCACCCCGGGCCGTGGTGGTGGGTTGCGGTGGGTGTGTCGGGCCCAGGTGGGCCCTGCGAGGGTGGGGGAGCCGGGGCCCCGTGGCCCTTGAGAGGCCACATGGCCCGCCTCTGCCCGCGGCCCTCCCAGCTCCACTGCCCGGTGTCGGGCCATGCCGGGCGTCGTGGACGGAGGGCCGGCGCCGCTGGCGCGCAGTCTTACCCGCAAGGGGCCTCGTGCGCATCTGCGGGCGCCGCCCGTTCCTGCTCCGCCTCCTCCTCGGTGTCGGTGTCGGTGTCGGGCACTGCAGAGGAGCGCCCGCAGGGCGTGGTCACGCGCCAGAGTCCGCTGGGACCCGACCGCGTGTGCCGGGCGTCCCCGGGGCCGCGGGGCACCCACCGGCTCCTGGCCTGCAGGGGTGCCTCCTCCCAGGCAAGAAGCACTTGGCGGCTTGGTGCGGTCCCGGGCCTCAGGGGGACCCGGGTGAGGAGGCCGCCCTTGGGGCCCCAGCCCCGGCCCGCCCCCGAGCCGTCCCAGCCTGGCCGGGAGGTCTCCCTCGGAATCGGGGGGGGGGGGGGGGATCCTCACATTCCACGACCTGCGCCCGGCGGTAGGGGCGGCCCGCGAAGCGGCCGGGGCCCCAGCCGAGCGGGTAGGACTCGCCAGCGGGGTATGCACCGGCGTAGGCCGCCGCGGTGTCCCTTAAGTAGTAGCAGTCCATGCCGCCCTCTGGTTCGGGGCAGGCCCAAACGGTGTGCTGGTACGGGGCGTCCACGCCAGGCCTGCAGGGGAGAGGCGTGCAGAGGACAGCGCTGAAGCCTGCCTGCGGGGAACAGGGTCAGGGCCCCGGGGCTGCAGGGCCGTGGCCTGGCCACCGGGCGCCCAGCCGACCCGCCTCGGACCTGCTAGCCACTGTTCCCTCCGCACAGCGGCCCGACCCCACCACCCCCCCGCGGCCGTGGTGGTGGGTTGCGGTGGGTGTGTCGGGCCCAGGTAGGCCCTGCGAGGGTGGGGGAGCCGGGGCCCTGTGGCCCTTGAGAGGCCACATGGCCCGCCTCTGCCCGCGGCCCTCACCCAGCTCCGCTGCCGGGTGTCGGGCCACGCCCAGTGTCGTGGATGGAGGGCCGCTGCCACCATGCACGCTGACCTACCCGGATTGGGCGTTTCCATGATCTGTCGCCGTCCAGTCCTCTGCCGCCTCCTCCACTTCCTGGCTGTTGGTCACTGTAAAGGAACGCATGCAGGGCAAGGTCATGCTCAAGAGTTGACCAGAACTCAACCACCTGCACTGGGCTTCCCTGGGGCTGCGTGCCCATGGGCGCGGAGCCTTGCGAAGGGCACAGCATGGCCTGACCTGGCAGTTGCCAGCCTCCAAGGCCAGCCTGGTGGTCTCTGCCCAGCCACAGGAGCTTCATACAGTGGGAAGCCTGGGTCTCAGCGAGTGAGCCAGCAGGTGGCCGGTCACCATCCTGGTGCTCCCAACCCAACACACAACTGAGTGGTGGTGGGCCAGCTCCCCTGGGCCATGGTGCCCCTTTCAGCTCCTGGCCTGCAGGGGTGTCTCCTCTCAGGCAAGAAGCGCTGGGTACCTTGGTACAATTTTGGGTCTCGGGGACCTAGGTGAGGTGGTCTCCCTTGGGCCATGGCCCGCCCCAAAGCGTCCCCCCCACCTTGGTGGAATCCACAACGTGTGCCCCACCGTGCACCCACCCCATTGGCAGCTTGGCTGGTGGCTGGCCGGACACAGCTGGACTGCCCCGTTCCAGCAGGCCTTCCGACGGGACCCTGGGGTCTTGCTCTTGCCAGGCCCTGTGCCCAGGGTGGGTGTTTGCCACTAGGCTGCGACTCACCACGTGGCGGTGGGGTCGGGCAGCACCCCAGCATCCGAGCAGAGCAGCCAGATTTCCCTTGGGAGGACTCATGTTCCAGCACCTCTGCACGGCGGTAGGACTGCTCTACGAAGGGGCTGGGACCCCAGAAGACTGGGTAGCCAATGCCGGGGTTGATGACATCCACGTGAGCTGCTGAGGCAGCTAAGTAGTAGTGGTATATCACGTCCATTTTTGGGCAGAGCCTCATGTTCTGGTGGTATGGAGCAACTGCGCCAGGCATGCTGGGGAGAGGCATGAGGAAGAGAGCTTGACACCCCCAATGGGCCGATGGGGTTGGCCGGGGCCAGGGTTACGTGTCTCAGGAGCATAAGCCCTGTAGCCCTTGGCCCAGGGAATCCAGATCCCACCCCAACCAGGGCGGCTGTCTTCCCGGCAGGACCAGAAGGTCTGTCCCACGACAAACCCCAGGGCAGTTGCCAAAACCTAGCTGCCTGCCACCAGCACCCATGCCATGCTAGGCTCAGGTGGCATGGGGCCGGTAGTGCGGGAGGTGGAGACCTGCACATGTAGCTGGGGTCCGGGGCCTGGGGGAGGACAGTCCAGGTCAGGAGGAAGTCTGAGCAGCACAGGGCCAGGGCTGCCCACCAGAGACCAAGGCCACCGGTTGGGCGACACAGCACCCCGGCTTTCTGCCGGGCACCCACCTGACCCACCTCGGACCTCCTTGCCACTTTTTCCTCTGCACGTTGGCCTGCTACCAGCTGTTGGCCAGACCCAGCCTGGAGGTTGGTAACGTGTGGGCATTGGGCCCAGACAGGCCTTTTTCAGTTAGCAGAATCAGGGGCCACAGGGAGAGGCATGCAAAGGAGAGAGCTGAACTCCTGCCAGGCTGGGGGTTGTATGGTTGGACTCTGTGGCACGGCTCTGGAGTTCAGGACCCAAGGAACCAGGATCTCTCCCCAAGCAAAGTGGCCGTGCTCCCCGACAGGCCCGGGATGTCTGTCCAGGGACAAACTCCAAAGGAGCTGCCTCTTTGCTACAGGGGGACCTTGTAAAATTCTGTGACCTTCACTTCATCCTATAAAGCCAGTACACTTCCTTCATCCCCCTCATAAAGGTCCTCCTTCAGGGACCAGCCCTCTGGCACAGCAGATAGATATGCTGCCTATGGTGCTGGTTTGAGGTCAGCTGTTCCACTTTCAATCCAGTTCCCTCCTAATCTGCCTGGGAAAGCAACAGAGGATGACCCTAGGTGCTTGCGTCCCTACACCCACATGGGAGGCCTGGTCCTCATCATCAGTCAGTCAGGAGGTGATGGTGATCAACAGCCGATGACATAGTGACGACACTAGAGTGTGCAGACATGTCACTGAGTTGCCACTAGCCTCTGTTCAATATTGGGATGTGAATCTGAACTCAAGAAATTCCTTGTTTTCTAAAAGAGAAAAAGAGGCTCTGCATCACCATCGCAGCCCATCAGTTAGCATTTCCGTTGGTCATGTATTTTATCAATATTTATGAGACAAGTGTCCTGCTGCTGGCCAAAGTCAGGTCTAGGTTGTCCTAGCTGACACTTCACAGACACATACACCTTCCCGCCTTCCTGCCCTGCACGGAGTCCCCCTTACTTGAACACAGCTTGAACCGGTGACATAACTTGCAGCAATCCAAGCCGGCCTTTCTTTTCCAGCATGTGGAGTAGCAAGGGTTTGTATATTCCACCATCTGAGAAAGACAGACACGGCTGCCTCACTGGAGGGCTGGACATTCAGCTCAGGCCACTGCCTCTAGGGAGGGCAAATTCCACTACCAGGCTCTGTGTACGGATTTCCTTCCTTATCTTTATTTCTCCACTTCCCAACAAGACATCTGACAATGCCCATCTTAGAGATGAGCAAACAAGAGTTCTAGCACAGCTAAAGTGCCTGACAACAGGTGATTCAATGGACATTTGACAGAATCAGAATTCCACTCCTCTGACCTGTGACTCAGCCATGGCCCAGTGTAATCACCACACCCCACAGCCTCTTAAGTCAAACACTAAGTTGAGGCGTGAAGCAGTGGTTTTCTGCATGCTAGGCAAGGCACCCTAACACTGGGGATGCATGATTCCTCTGTGCTGAGGATTTCAGGCTTCTGTGTTTGGGGATGAAGAGCTAGATAGAATTGTGTAAAATAGAATGCTTATCACCCAGAGGCCCTGAAGGAAACATGCACGCATACTAATGAAGTTCTTGTTAAGTTATAAATAATGAATGAATAGTGAATAAATGTGTTCCATACCAGGAATCATCACTGGTATTTTACAAGAAATATGTCTTGCATTTCACAGCAATAATTCAGAGGTGGGATAGCACTGTGGGCATAGATAAGGAATCTCAGGAACAGAGAAGACGGGCATTCTGGAATAGAGCCTGGGGCTAGGGCCCAGAGTCCCTGCCCCACACTCTGCTCTGTGCTACCACAAGGAGTCAGGAACTTTCTTCACCTTCAGGAAGACCCTGGGCTCCCCGAGCAGATCTTCCCTCTCACCAGGGCAGTCCCTGGTCTTGACAATGTCACTTACAGATAATGGTTCCAGGGTAGGGCCAACTCCCTTTTATTGTCTATAAAGTGGATCCTGTACACTCTTCATCACATTTCCCTTGTGTGACTAGCACAAGGATTGGCCAATTGGAACTCAAAAGAAGCTTGGAGGGGCTGGCACTGTGGTGTAGTAGGTTAAGCTTCTGCCTGCAGTGCTGGCATCCCATACCTATGGACACCAGTTAGAGTCCGGCTGTTCCACTTCCAATCCAGCTCTCTGCTAATGGCCTGGGAAAGCAGTGGAAGATGGCCCAAGTGTTTGAGCCCCTGCACTCATGTGGGACATCAGAAGCAGTTCCTGACTCCTGCCTTCGGATCGGCTCTAGCCATTGCAACCATCTGGGGAGTGAACCAATACCTGGAAGAGCCCACTGCCTCTCTCTCCCTCTCTTTGTAACTCTGCCTCCCAAATAAAATAAATCTTAAAAACAAAACAAAACAAAACAAAAGCAGCTTCAATTGAGTAGAAGTTCATTAAGCCCAGACATGAAGCCCACACCACGTGGTACAGGACACAGAGGCTGTTAATTAAAATGAATTGGCGGCCGGCGCTGAGGCTCCCTAGGCTAATCCTCTGCCTGTGGCGTTGGACCCCGGGGTTCTAGTCCCAGTTGGGGCGCCAGATTCTGTCCCAGTGGCTCCTCTTCCAGTCTAGCTCTATGCTGTGGCCCGGAAAGGCAGTGGAGGATGGCCCAAGTGCTTGGGTCCTGCACCCACATGGGAGAGCAGGAAGAAGCACACCTGGCTCCTGGCTTCGGATCGGCACAGCGCGCCGGCCGTAGCGGCCATTTTGGGGGTATACCAACGGAAGGAAGACCTTTTTCTCTCTGTCTCTCTCTCTCTCACTGTCTAACTCTGCCTGTCAAAAAAAAAAAAAAATGAATTGGCCTCTTCATAGCAAAAACAGACATTTCCTTGCCTGTACCAGGAACCATTCCCTGGAATTTTAATTGCCACCCCATCCTACCTCACACTAGACTGAAAACCTGGAATTTGCAGAACTCCTGCCTCGGCTATTCCATACTCAGTAACCTGAGGTTGTAATACTAACTTCTAGCTTTCTCACAGTACGGTAACAATGACATTTCTTATACTCAAGGGAAGAGAACAATCAAATCTAGAAAGCATTTGATTTCTCAGAAGCACAAAAGACAATCATTCATCACTTGGGTGAGAGGACCTACAGAACTCACCGTATTTCTCTAAGCAAGTAGCCAAGTTATACACTTGTTGTCGGAAAGCTTGCAACTCCCATTCTGACTTTTGACAGTTTGAGGCTGAAGTCTTGGTTGATCCTTAGTTTGTCATCTGCTGGAATAGATGAAGGGCTAGGTGGTCCTGCCATCTTGATGTTGCTGGCAGAAAACGCAGTTTCTGGGACTAGGGTGAAGAAAACCAAGCATAGGAGGAGTTAAAACAAATAAAATACAGTAGCTTCAATCAGGACGGGGATGAGAATAACCATATTGCCTAACTTACTGTTGGGAAACACCCCAGAGATCCTGAACGTCTTTACTAACAGTCCTATCCGGGGGGGGGGGGTCAAAATTCAGCTTTTAAGCAACAGCTTATAGCTCGTTCACTGACAAGAATAAGGGAACTGAAGGTCCTACTTGCCAAGTGACCATTTGGAGTAACAGTCATAGAATTAGAAGGTAGGGGGTGTCATGGAATCTTAGGAGCTCCTGCTTTCCAGTTGCCTAGACCAGGCTGATACGCAAGGCTACCTGGTCTCTAACTCTTAAAGTCACCACTGAAGGGGACCAGCCACTCCTCCTTCCGTCTCAGGAGTTGTGTACCCCCGTGCTGATTTCAAAGACCTGCCTTTCCCTCTACAACAATCTGAGCACATCTCTCACTGTCCACCCTTCTCCACAGTTGAAAACATCAAGGCAGAATTAGTTTCCAGACAAGGTTTCTTTACTCTAGAGCTGTTAGGAAGTCACCACACTTTTTTGTAAGGTTAAAACACATCTCGAGTCTCTTCCCCCAGGGCGACAAAACACGTTATTGGCTGCCATGATCTTCTCTGGGTTTCTGCAGGTTTCCCTGTATCCATTCAGTAGTGTGGGGCCAACAGCAGAGTACAACACTAAGTGAAGGATGAATTCATTTTCAAAATATTTTGTGTCCTGTCTCAACATGCCTTTGGCTGCATTCAAGTGTTGTCTTGGCTTCCTTTCCCTCACACAGGCAGCATGTTGCCATTTCATTCCGCTAAAAACCACTTAGATATCCCTGCATCCTAATCCTTCCTTTTTTCTCATTTGAAAGAGTTACAGAGAGAGGCAGAGACACAGAGAGAAGTCTTCCATCTGCTGGTTCACTGCCCAGATGGCCGCAATGGCCAGAACTGCGTCAATCCAAAGCCAAGAGCCAGGAGCTTCTTCTGGGTCTCCCCCGTGGGTGCAGGACTTGGCCCATCTTCCACTGCTTTCCCAGGCCATAGCAGACAGCTGGATCAGGAGGGGGCAGCTGGGACTAGAACCAGCGCCCCTGTGGGATGCCAGTGCTTCAGGTCAGGGCTTTAACCGGCTACATCTCAGCGCCGGCCCCCCTAATCCTTCATTTAACTTGGTGGCTTTGTTTGGTTTCTAAGGGTTGCTAAACGTGACATTTCATACTTGTCTCTTACAGGTTTCGCTAGCCCCACAAGAGCTCTTTTCAAAGATAGCATGAGATTCAAAGAGTTTATGTATTATCTCCTAACTTTACATAGGGATGATCTCTTTTTGGAAGATGTAGAAACCTGATGCTACTGTTCAAGTGTTCTCCTTTAGTTCATCCACATATTGAAGAGAACAGGATTTACTGGCCATCCTTAAGGAATGTTGCCTGATAGAGTTTTTTAATAACATGGTTGAGCCCTTCTGAATTCACTGTCAAACACGGTTAAGACCAAGATCATGACTGTGCGTGTCTGCTGATCCACAGTGTGCATGGACAGTAATGAGCAGACACTAGGGTGAGAGCAACACCTCACTTTCTTGGCTTCCATTCCCACCAAGCTTTTGTGGACCTCAGACTCAGGGGACTCTCCTGGAGCCAGGGGTTTGCAATTTAGCTGCTGGAACTTGCCCAGGTTGAGATGGCATGGGGTATACCCATGAGACACTAAACATTCCTCTCAAAGTAATGAAGTTGGAATGATCAACCACTTTGGAAATCTTCTCTACCCCACTGTCGCTCCCTCACTCGTGGAGGAACGACACCGGGCACTGTTCTCTTTCCCCAGTCCTTCCCGGATTTGCTGCCACTTTCCTCCAATCAGAGGTTGGATCAGGAATCAGCTAATTGATGAGGCAGCTGTGTAAGATTTGTTTACTCCCTCTCACTGCCATATGGTGGGAGATCAGACGCACAGAGTCAGTTTCAGTTCACAGTCTCAGTACTTATTTGTCTCCCAGGCGCCCCGCCATGTTGCAGGAGATGGACCCTGCTCCCCACACCCCACCCCACACCATCTCCAAAGATGTTGTGCAATCATAACAGTTTGTGAGTTGCACAAAAGAATTTTTTTTAAATTATATTTTGGTGTCCCTGCACTTGACATTGTCAAATTTTACTGTCATTAATTCTCAAAGTTGTTTGTCAAGCCTTTCATTGCAAAAATGACAAATTTAGCACAAAGCTACATCTCTTTTTCTGAAAAAAAAAAACTTTTAATAAATATAAATTTTTGACCGGCGCTGCAGCTCACTAGGTTAATCCTCTAGGTTAATCCTCTGCCTCGGGCACTGGCATCCCATATGGGCACTGGGTTCTAGTTCTGGTTGCTCCTCTTCCAGTCCAGCTCTCTGCTGTGGACTGGGGAAGGCAGTGGAGGATGGCCCAAATGCTTGGGCTCCTGCACCCGCATGGGAGACCAGGAGGATGCACCTGGCTCCTGGCTTCGGATCGGCATAGCTCTGGCTGTAGCGGCCATTTGGGGAAGAAGCAGAGATCAGTTTTAAGTCTCCACATTCCTAGGTTTTCTCCTCAGCCACCCAACTAAGATGAAAGAAATCACAAATGAGAGAATTCAGGTCAATGAAGAGACTCTCACCGGAGCTTCAGATCACCCAGTCAGCTCCTTCAGGGAGAGTCAGGATGCAAACATGTCAGGGTCAGGCCTCTTCAGGTGAGGAAGATGCACCAAAGAAGAAGGAAGGATGTTGCTAGGGAACCATTCATGGAGAAAGCAATTGTAGCGCGGTTTGAAACAAAGTAACTGTAGCACCCTTTGAAAGCAAGTAACTGCACACAGGCAGCTTGAAGGAAAAGTAAAGTAGTAGCCACCCTAGCTGGTAAGATTTGAAAGTTGCCACCTAACTAGACCTCCTAACCACAAACTGTCGTTGCCATGACGACGGGACCCTGGGGGGTCGGAATGTGGGCGGGGCTAGCCTCTAGAAACTGTATATAAGGGGACCCTCAGCCGCTGTAAACCAGAGGGTTGCTCAGCCTCTCTCCCCAGTCCGTAGTGCCTAGTGCCCGCAGGGAGAAGCTCCTGGTCCGTAGTGCCTAGTGCCCGCAGGAGTAGGCTTGAGCGATCTCTCCTCCTAGTTGCCTAGAGTATCAATAAAGTGTATTTAGCTTGACCTTCCTCAGTCTCCTCGACTCTTCCTTTGCGGTAACCTGGTCAGTTCCCAAAGATGGGAGATCCTGACAGATGTGGCTTCAAAAAGAAGAGGATCTCCACAGCAGTGTGAGACAAAGAAATAACATGGATTACATGAAGATGCCCACAAATGCAGAGCTCAGAGCATAGAGGAAAACCCGTCATCAGGGAACTCTGGCTGGACTTGCTCAGCCTGACTTCACAGCATTATTCAGTAATAAAAATCATATCTGGCTGGAGGAGCCAAGATGGCGGAATAGTGAGGGCACACACTGATAGTCCGGGAAAAGGTAGTTTAATAAAAGTGGAGTTACTGTAGTCTCAGGAAAAGGCTTGGGAAAAAATTACAGAGGAAACTCTTCCGGATCTAGTGGATGTGACGTGGAGGACCTACAGGGAGAGCAAGGATGCCCATGGTGCAGAAGCCGAGGCACGGGAACCGGGCCGCAGAAGCCGAGCCTTGGAAACCGAGCCACGGAGTCAGCACCAGTGCTGGAAGGGGAGGTGAGACAAAAGCCTCGGTAACCCAAGTCATTGGTGGGGAAAGGTAGAAAGAGCCTAGAGGGAATGAGGCTTGAAGCCCCACTGGGGAAAGTTCACCAGGCTGACTGGAGGAGAGAAAAAAAAATGAATAAATAAGGGGAACCGGCACGGACACTAGCCTCTCTCTCCATGCACCTACAAAGCCGAGCAAGACAAAGAGCAGGCGCCATTTTGGACATACTTAAGCAGCACCCGCCATCAGCCAAGCAGAAAAACCTGACTCTCGTGGGGAGAAATAACTGGAGGTTAGAACCTAGTGAAAGTGTGGAGCTAACAAACAGACTGTGAAAATCTAAGGGAGGGTGAGAGAACTCACCAAGTACACAAATTTGGTAACCTTGGCAACCCGGTGAGAGACTGCTGAGAAATTTGAGACCACACTGAGGGCAGCATAGACCCTGTGTGGTCCTTGGGGTAGAGCAGACTAATACCCACAGGGGCCAGATTTCATACATCAACTACCCTTAATTCCACTCAGCTGTGTGGAATTACTTCCCTTCTGAGGCAAAAAAAAAAAAGAGAGAGAGAGAGCAAGCGAGCGAGAGAGAGAGCAAGCGAGCGAGAGAGAGAACAAACTGGGTGAGTCACCTTTGGCACACCCTTAACCCTGAAGAACCAAACAGAGCTCTCTGGCCACACCCATCACAGCCTCTAAGGATACATCAAAAGCAGACAGTCCACTTAATCTAGAGTCACAGTATAACGGGAAAAAACACCACAGCGAAGAAATCAAAGAATATCTCCACAATGCCAAACAAATGCAGAAACCGAGGTAACAAGAGCAAGGAAGACATTACGATGCCCCCAAATGATAAAGACACCCCAATTCAAGATTATGAAGATGATGAGATAGAAGAAATGCAAGAAGCAGATCTCAAAATATTGATAAAAACATTAAGAAGTTATCAAAAACAAATTATTGAACTACAGAAATCCTTACTGGACAGGATAGAAAATCTCTCCCATGAAAATGAAATATTAAGGAGGGATCAAAATGAAATGAAGAAACTAGTAGAACATGAAACTGTGATAGTGACGAGAAATCATAATGAAATAAAGAATTAAATAGATCAAGTGACAAACACACTGGAGAGCCTTAAAAACAGAATGAGTGAAGCAGAAGAGAGAACATCGGACTTAGAAGACAGAGCACAGGAAAGTATACAGTCAAACCAAAGAAAAGAAGAGGAAATTAGAAATCTAAAAAATATTGTCGGGAATCTACAGTTACTATTAA